CTTGTATCCTCTTGTCTCTTATTAATTTGGTCGCATCATTAAGGCAGACTACATTGTCTAGGATGTATCGACCCGGAATAAAGCCTGTTTAGTCTAAGTGGAAACATTTATCTGTCACGTTTCTTATTTTATTTGCCAATGCTTTTGCTAGTACCTTGTAGGCTACTGGTAGGAGAGTGATTGGTCTATAGTTTCTTATATCTTCCTTTTCCCCTTTTTTGTAGAGGAGTGTCACTACTCCCGTGCTGATATCTTCTCCTAAGCTTCCTCCTGGAGGAAACGGAGAGATCTTTTCCTAATACTGGCCAAAATTCCTGCCAAAACTCCTTTGTCAAGCCATCTATACCTGGTACTTTATTTGATTTCATGCCTTCTAGAGCCCTATGAATTTCCTCTATGGAGAGTTCCTTGTCTAAGTATGCTACAGCTTCTGGTTTTATACTTTTGTCCAAATGCTGGCCAAAATTCCTGCAAGAACTCCTTCGTCAAGCCATCTATACCTGGTACTCTATTTGATTTCATGCCTTCTAGAGCGCTATGAATTTCCTCTATGGAGAGTTTTTTGTCTAAGAATGCTACAGCTTCTGGTTTTATGCTTTTGTCCAAATGCTTCATGAATTTTCCCCTTGCCATTTGTATAGAGTTCTGGAAGAGATTGAGAGGTATATAGCTTCTTGTAGAAGTGCGCTGCAATTTTTAGGAGGTCGCCTTGGTTGCGCCTTATTCTCCCTTCGTCGTCTCTTAGCTCCATAATTCTATTGTTTCTGCTATTCGCTTTAATTTTTTGGAAGAAGAATTTGGTCATGGTTTCATTGCTTTCCCAGTCTTTTACTCTCGCTCTGATGCTCAGGCCTCTCCTTTTCCAGTCCGCCCATTGGGCTAGTTCCTCTTTTGCTGTCTTGAGTAGGGCTTCCTATAAGGGGGAGCCCGGGTTGCGGGATTAATTAAATTCTGTGGTCTCTATGACGGACTCTAGTAGTTCTTGCCTTTCCTTTCTTTTTCTTGCCTCCTTCCTTGATTCTTTGCTCAGTCCTACACTGACCTTATGTAATCCCTCTGCTAAGCCTGCTACCAAGTACTCTTCTTGCAACCTAGGTGAGTGTTTTCCCATGTTTGTTTTACAACCGCCTGGATGCTTTCTAGCTTTAGAAGAGAGTTGTTGACTTTGTAGAAACCGTGCCCTGATTCATTGTCCATTCCAAAAGAAAGCAGCAATCCCACCTGTTTGTGGTCAAATCCTTCATAGTAGGGGGGTTTAAGGATGGCCGCTAATAATGTTGCTCCTATTAGGGATTCTGATATTAAAAAGTGATCTATCCTAGAAAATGCTGTTTTTCCTTGTGTCCTTCTAGTGCATGTAAAGCACTTTGTCTCTGGGAATCTTAGTCTGAAGGGGTCCACTAATTTCTTTTCTGTTACGAACTCTATCATTAAATGTGCTTCTGTGTCATCTATTCCTTCCCTTGCATGAGATATCCTGTCTATTAGAGGATGTAGTGTTGCGTTCCAGTCTCCTACTGCTATGGTATGTCAATGGTTCGGGCATTCCTGTTTGATTGTGTCTATTACTGCTGTTCTGTGTGAGTTGGTAGTTGGTGCATATACATTGACTATAGTTATTTCCTCCTGCCTGTACGTAAAGTCTATCCTGATCCACCTCCCCTCTGTTGGGTCCATCTGGCCTTATTCTGCTTTGCGACTGGTTCCATTTTCAGTCCATCGGGACCACTTGCTTGAGCGTGTTGTTCTAACTTCTGGCAACTTGCTGCTTATTCTGGGACTACATTCAGTGCATCTGGATTGATTCTGCTTTGCGACAGGTTCCATTTTCAGTCCATTGGGACCACTTGCTTGATCATGTTGTGGAAAGTTGGAAACCAGATTCTCAAGATTATCGGGCTCCTTGCACTTGCATGACCCGTCAAAACACAGACTGAGAACACTGCTGATTTCTGAAGTTCTGCCGATGGAATGGATGCCTTGATGAGATTCCCGCATTCTGCTGTGTTTTCTAAGTCTGTCTGGGTGTGTGTGCTTGTGACCTGCGTGCCTGTCTGAGTGCTGGTCGGTATGAGTGTGTGTGTGACCCGCAAGGGTACTTGCTTGTTTGGTAGGCCCGTAGGGCCGGTACTTACCTGTGGCCGTGGCATTGAGGGTTGTAGCAGGGAAAAACACTCAAGTGGCGAAGCTAGCGGCCCTGAGGCCCTTGGGGTAGCGGAAAAACACTCGAGTAGGCCGGTAGGCCGATACTGCACCCCACTACAGTTGGCGTGAAGGGGTACTGGAGGCCGAGCAGAAAAAGACAAAGTTGGCATTTTTAGAGTCCAGTAGCGGTAGGGTAGGTCTAGGCCGGTACCAGTCCAACCAGTCTGAGTCTAGAGCCTGTACGGGTAATATCAGGGTCTGCAATGATGTTTCCCTCCGAAACGGAGGAAGTACCAGTTGGTTGGAGAGGCCGAACGGCCTGGAAGTCACCGCCCAGGAGGCAAGTAGGCCGCTATATCAAGAGGCAGGGCGGACAGCCCAGCCTCATTCTTCAGTGTGCGAGTTGGGCGTCACGCTGCTGGAGCGCTGGCTGGAGTAGCGCTCGGCACTACAGAGCTGCTGGGAGGAAGAAGCCGGGAGCTTCCACCTTGGCTATGGTGGAGCTCTACCGGTAGGAGGAGGAGGGAGAAGGGGACCGAGGAGGAGAGTGGCGGGGTACTTACCGGCTATGGTAGACACCATCTTCATCTCCTTGCTAGGCGCTGCATCAGGAAGGCCCCAGTGGGGGTAGTGCCGCATCAAGGAAGCTCGGACAGAGTCAGGCATGGCGGTTGAGTGGGCAGCGGCATAGCTGCTGGGTGATGACCTTGAAGTAGAGCAGCGGTATAGCTGCTTTGGGTTGTCTTTTTTACCGGAGGCTGAAGCCTCAGTAGTCCGCCATAGCCTCGGCCTGTATGTAGAGGAAGAAGAAGGGTTGCCATGGCTATGGTGGACCTCATCTTGTGCCTGCAGTAGAAGTGGGATTCGGACATTGATTCTGGTTCAGCTGTTCAACATTATTATTGTTTATTATTGTTTGAATAAGAGAGGAGGAGATAAAGAGGAGGAGGTTGTTGAGCGAAGAAGAAGAGCTTTGTCTTTGGTCTATGCTGGAGTACATCATCTCTTTCTTCTCTCTTAATTCTTCTTCTTCTTCTTTCCCTCTCTCTCCTCTCAAGTTCTTTCATTTCTTTTGCAATTGGACGGCATTGGGCTCAAGTTCATTCATTTCTTTTCGCAATTGGACAACATTGTACTTTCTGATGATTGTGGACTTCGAAAGTGGCGAGCCTTGCACGTGAGAGGCACAGTGGAGGTGGAGTTCAAAGAAGAATGAGAAATTTAATGGTTTCAATCTGCCCTTGTTTTTTCTTTTTGTTTTTATTTTTGCATGTTATCACTGTGCCCGTTTTTTGCTTTTATTCTTTGTTCCGCAAAGTGCGCTCTTTTAGTTTGTAGTGATGTGTATATATATATATTGTCACACTGTGAACCAGAGCGCAGAAGCAAAAAAAAGAAGAAGAAAAGAAGAGAAAAGAAAAAAGGGGGAGAAGAAGAGGTAAGGAAAGCTCCACCTGTTCATAACCTCATACGTACAAGGCCAGCCACGTGGATGACAGGTTGAGCGCTGGCTGCCCCCATCCCCGTGTGTCATAAAGACCCACTTGCACGCAGCCGGAAGGCAAAAAGGTAAAGAAAAGGCGGAGGAAACCAAACCTCACAGAAGAAGAAAGCCTATTAAACAGACGAAGCAAGTACACATCCCACAGATAATCCAATTACCATCCCACAGAACATATTTTTCTTTTTTCTTTTTTCTTTTTTCTCAGGTTTCTTTTTTTATGTTTTTCTTTCCTCGGTTTCTTTTTTTATCTTTTTACTCGGTTTCTTTTTTTATCTGTTTCTTCTACACTTCATCTGTCACCCCCTCGGCAGATAGGACAACTACGGTGAGGATGACGGGGATGTTCACAGGGATACCCAAGGAGAGTTGTGTTAGTGCAGCATTCAGCCGGATGGCTAGCACGAACCATCCTTCACAAACAGAACTGCCCGGTAAACCGTAGGCAGAGAGAGAGAAGAGGACAACAAACGAGGGGCTGTGACAAACTGTTTCGTCGAAGTTTCACCGACTCATCAGGAGGCTGAACCCTCAACAGTCTGCAGAATCCCCTCACTGATTACACTATAAATGATAATCTACCTTAACCAAAATCAAAGTAGACTATCACTCACCCACACCAGATGGAAAACTCTACAGACTGTCGGTTCACACCCCATCACAAGCCAGCAAAACATCCACGAAACAAAGAAAGGTCTGTCACAGCCAAAAAATACACTCCAGACACGCCGCTGGCACTAGAGGCACAGCATGGCCGCCTAGTAACGGCCCCGACCACTGCCGCTCGACCTGACCGGAAAAAAACGTAGCAGGAAGCTAGCGAAGTCGTAGCATATATCGTCACAAACAGAACTGCCCGGTAAACCGTAGGCAGAGAGAGAGAAGAGGACAACAAACGAGGGGCTGTGACAAACTGTTTCGTCGGAGTATATATATATATATATCGTCACATATATATTATGTAATACTGTAATACTACTAATAGTCTAATACATTAATAATATTTTTTTGGAATACATTCATAGTATTTATTGTAATACAATTAAATACATTAGTAATATTTTATATACAAAGAAGAAGAGTTTAACATAAGAAGGATAGCAATTGCAGTACCAAAAAACGAATTCAGGGCATACTCACACTGGCACTTTCCTAAGCGTATCCGACTGCAATTACTCGGATTATTACGGCCAAACCTGGATGAATCTGACTGCAATTACGTCCAGAGCTTGTTAGAAAAAGTCCCCGTGTGCGTAGGCCCTCAGATAAAAAAGCAACAAGACATACAAACTAAGTTCACAACTTCACAAGCTAATGACAGCAGAGCATCCCAGGATTTTGTCATTCACCTCACCTGCAATGCCAAACGCGTCCTGATGAGGTCTAGTGGGTAGGTGCAGACCACTGCAGTGGCACCCGCAAAGGAGCCGGCCACCAAATCAACACGTGGGTCGGAGTACCCATATGCCGCTATGATCCATCTCCGATACTGTTCGTATGTCATATAGTGAAGCGCCGCATAGGGCACAACCCGTACTACATTGGCTCCATTCCCCCTGCAACACACACAGGATAGAGACAATACGATTTCCATTAAGAAAAAAAAAAAGAGGGAGGAGAAAAATGCCACCTCCTTTTTTCAGATGCAAAAACATGCTTGTCTGTGATGAGCAACCGGACTGAGCTCCCCAGAATAGAAGGGGCATTTTGCAGGGGGAAAAAAAGAAAAAAAAGAAAGAAAAAAAAAAGAAAAAAAAAAGGCCACCTCCTCAGAGAAGAAGAATCTTACGTAGTAGACAAGCTTGCAAGGGGGAAAGAAAAAGAAGCTTGCCACCGTCCCCTGAATAGAGTGTATGCTGTATGGTCATTATGACTGTATCCAGACTGGCTCCCAATACATGCACACCGACCTTGGATTATATTCAGGGGACGATGGCAGTGCTGTTCTGAAGCGGGGGAGGAAAACACATCGAATGGGTAAGAAAAAGAAAAGGTACGAACGTGCACGTCCTATAAGTGCAAGCCGCCGAACACCATACCACTATCCGTCCTATAAGTGCATATAAGTGCAAGGCGAAGGGGGGCCGCACGCAGGGGAAACTTGGGACAAAACAAGCCAAGTAAGAAAACAATGGAAAGAATAGAAGGAATAAAGCAGACCAGGCCCACCGACACAACTAGGATAAACAGCTCTTCCAAAAATAGAATGGAACAGGTCCTGCTGGCCAAAGCAGAGGAGCCGTCCCAAAAATTAAATGGTACCATACTTGCAAAAGCACCGTGCGCCGTACCGTCCGGTCCGCCACACGGCGTGCAGTGCGGCACCTGCTCGAGCGCCGTACCAGCAGCAGTTTCCCTTTTTTTTTTTTTTTTTGCTGTTTTTGTAGATACAGAAGAGTGCAACACCTAAGAAACTGATCTTTTTCAAGTACAGTCATACAGATTTTTCTTTCCGTCCAATTGGGACATCGGACAAATAGCCTCAAAAAGGTGTCTGGGACATCAATCTTGACCTTTACGTAGCGGCATTACCCTCCCGCAAGTCCTCCCCACCCCCCACCCCCCCAATCCCACAACAAATCTTTAAAGGGGACGCAGGTGACCATTGACCCAGCCATGCGACCCCTTTCTTTTTCTGAGTGAATATTTCCCCCGTGTGCCGCACCCTTCGGGTCCGCTCGTGCGCCAAAAGTCCGGAATTTTCCGCACGGCGTCCGTTTGCATGTACGAATTGAACACATTCTGCAGGGCAATCAAGCGTAGCTATTCCAAATATAGAATGGGACCACAAGTTAATCCGGAAACAAAACAGAGTCCCGAAAAAAAAGAAAGAAGGCAAGAGTCCAACAGGGGCAACAAATGCATTCAGGAACACACATAAGGAAAGGAAAAGAAAGCGTTCCCAAAAAAAAAGGGAAAAAAAAAATCAATGGAACAAAACAGAGTTTGACAGGAAAGCAAAAAAAAAAAAAAAAAACAGAGTTTGACAGACAGAAGAGAACAGAACAGATTGATCAATGAAAATCTCAGGAAGAGAAACATATGTCCGGACTCCGGAAGGAGAGCAGAACAAAGCAGCTGACGCATTCAGAATTTGAGGGAGAGAGCGACAGATGAAAACATTTTACCACCAGTTCACACGAGAGCCTAAGTTGACGAAGCTACCTTCCAAGGCGCGCAAGCCCATAACTGACTGATTTATCGGCCCAGGCCCAAATCAAAATTTCATAGTGGCTTTCCGCCTTCACTATCAGCCCAGGCCTAAAGCTCGAACTTAGGCTCAGATGAACTGGAGGTTTTGAGTCCTACAATAACAGTATCCGCCTCACCCCCAACCTCTCCCCACATGTTCAATCCCCTCAACACCACTTTCCCGTAATCCCTCCGCTCTCCGTTCCCTAACCCTTCTCCCCCCTTTATAATTTCTCTCCAGCTTACCTCCGACCCCTCTCATTTCCTCACAGCCTCCCTCCCCATTCCCTAACTCCCCCG